AAAACGGAGAGTTCTCAGGGAAGTTTTCCTTTAGAAAGTGATGGACTCCCAGGCGCTTGACAGTTCACTTGGGATTACAAACTGCAAGCACTGCAGCTGATTTTAATTGCCATGATGATGCATAGGGAGAGATGTGATATCTAGAGTAACTAAACAATGAGGGTTTTAAAAGATTAAAGTCAACACTTTAAATTGCACTCAAGACTGCATAGGAAGCTAATGCTGACCCTAGAATGCAGGTGTAATATTCTCCATATGTTTTGGACCCTGTAGTCAAAAGAGATCTAGCCCCATGCAACACACACAATAAAAGTGCAAAAGCAGTGCATTATAAAATTCTGTTTTAAAGGTTAGAAACACAAAGAAGATGGTGTGAACAAGACATACATACAGAATAATGTGTTCTCGGATGTGGAATGCCAAATGGAATTCCATAGATATCTGTGCGGCCTTCTAAATCAAAGGCAAGCTGGTTTCCACTGCTAAATGTATTTTGTATACCCAGAATTTTGGCCTAGAAGTGAATTGGTCCCTAGCTTCTGATGTTACCTGATAACAGGTAGCAATAACTGCTAGTAAGAGCTGGTTAGACTCTTTCAGGTATGAAAAGTAGTATGGCTGACTTCACACCTCAGTAAGAATGAACTGAATACTGTAAGATGAAGCAAAAAATTAGAAGAAATAATTCAATCAGGAATCGCAGTATTCCAAAGAAATAGGGCATCCCTAAAAGTAGACAGTCTTTGGTGAACTAAACATATGAAATGCAAAATGCTACTCAAGAAACTAAATCAAACAAACCTAGAATAATTCTGCCAATGCAAAAGAATATTCTCCAAATCGCGTAGCTTCAGCCACTGACATATGGGAAAATTTATGTAGTAAAGTATATGCTTATAAAGTTTCAACTTATTTTTAGTGGGGGAAACAATTTATTATACCAAAAAAGCATAAATGTATGACAGATGGCAATGCATTTTTTTGTGTACCCTTGGCAGGGTCCCTTTCGCTCAATGGCTGTCACTTCTTGAAACTATGGACATTGTCATTCACACCTATTTTCTGAAATTAAACAGATGAATTCTATGAAGAAACGCTACTAAATTTTGTTACTGTATAATGTCTTCCCATTTTTGTCTCATAAATTATTTAGAGCACCACTTTCTCCAAAATAATGAAAAAGGACAAAATGGGACACAAAATATTCTGTCATAAAACCTTTATTTGAAAGCTTTTAAATCAATTTTGGAGAACTTTCTCTATTTAAATTTGTTCTGTAGGAGTTTACAAAGGGAACTATTAAGTCGTTGGAAAACTCATGACACATTTTTTGCCTAGAAAAATAGAAAATATGCCATGACTTTTCTGATGACCCAATATAAAAAATTATACTAGAAATGCATTCTTCTGTCCTGAAATCTTTTATTTGGGCTTTTAAATGTTCAATTCCTTTAAATCATTTGCAAAATTACAATTTATGTACATAGGTTAGCTCAGGAATGGATCTTGATTTTGTGTTCTCATAAGTGTGACAGCAGCAGACTATGTTGTATTACTTTAATATGCAAACCACTTCTTCAAGTTGGAGATATATTTACTGAATAAAGACATGAAAGAACATACTGTCTAAGCAGGTGGAAGGCAAGTTAAAGGGTGAGATCAGGATGGGTTTGGCAATACTACATATAGCCTCCCAAAGGGCAGGGATTAGATCTTTGTGGCTTTCATAGTAGCCAGTATTGTGTACTGCCTACTTAATAATAACAAGGGTTGTTTTCTCAGGCAGTTCCAGAAAGACTGGCCACCATTCCATGTGCTGAAAGCTGATTCTTAGCCAACAATTATCATGAAGTGTAAGGTAGTTAGGGTAATCCTATATGCTACAGCACACTACAATATGAGGGGTCTTCAAAAAGTTCACAGAAATGGGTATTATGAAAAAAACTAAGTGTGGATTTCAAGATTGTTTTGCACCAAAATAAACTTGTACTTTAATTCCATTTTTATGAAAATGTTCTTAAGTCCTTTGAGCAGCTAAAAAAAAAAAAAAATCTCATCCACTAATAATCTCAAGCAAGTGCCTCAGGTGGAGAAGCAGAGTGATGCTCAGGAGAAGGGAAGCCCTCTGGGCCACAGCAATCCAGATCTTCCAGGCTTTCAATGTCATCATCCCACTTCCAGACAGATGGGGGACAGCATGAATAACACTTGGGAGATGAGGTGGAGGGTCAGGCCTGGCTGCATGATGACTCAACCTGTTCATGTCACACTGGCTAGAACTCGGTCACATGTTCAGATTGAGGAATAAAGAAAGCTAAAAAAGTCTGACTTTCACAGTAGGAAAAAAGAAAAGAAAATGTTTGATAAATAGCTAGACAGCTTTTACCACAAAGCATTTCAGTTTATTGTAGCCAAAATTGGAGTTGGACATCTGCCTCTTGTAACATTAAATTTTATTTTTTTCTTTTATTCTGTTTTTTCTTTCATTGTTCCTTCTTATCTGCAATCTGCTTTATTAATCATGTTAGAGATCTTCCTGAACTAATTTCCAATAATGTTTTATTTTGAAGTGTGTATTCATGTTTTTTTTTGTGTGTATTCATGTTTAAGAAGAAAGAAAATGAGTAACATAGCATGGCATGCATAAATATTTAAATTTTTAATAGAACATATGAAGGTACTTCAAAAAGTTTATGAGAAATGGAATTAAAAGATGAGTTTATTTTGGTGCAAAAAATTTTGAGATCCATGCAGATTTTTCACAATGCACATTTTACATGAGCTTCTACAAGACCCCTCACACTAGAATGCCAATAAACTTTTTACTGCCTTTCTAAGAGGAATGCAAGACTTTTATTCTCCCAAAATAGTTTAAAACTATGAGAAGAAATATATATATATGTATACATATATATATAATCAATAGATTTTTTTCTATAAGATGTTCACCTTTATAAAGAAAACATAATACAAAGACAATTTTTATCATGTAATGCTAAGGAAATTTTGGTGAACAAAATTTGGCGAGAAAATTCTGTTGACAATCAGTGGCACCATCATAGTTGTTTTGGAAACCCTTGGGAAAACCCTTTTCTGGCAGATCTCTGTGGCATTACTATGTTTCAGTCCTTTTATTCTCATGACAAGAAGAAAAGGCTTTCTGGCAGCTCCACAGAGCAGAGCAGCAGTAACTCAAGAGAATCCAGATCCCTATGGCAACCTCAATTCAAATCCCTGCCTTGGTCAGCCT